AACCTAACAAGACCACTAATATGTAGATAGGCAAGTAAGGATCGAATCCCAAGAGACTATGGTTTGACTAATTAAACAGACTCAAATAAATACTAAGCAAGTAACCAATATAATAGTGAGAACTAATAACTAAAGAGCTAAATAAAGCGATTAAATCTAAATAATATAATAAATCAAATGCTAATAACATCCAAGATCAAGCATCACCACGAATACAATTAACGCAATAGTCGTTCTACCCCTAACATATAATTCAATTGATTAACGAGGAAAAGTAATCCCTAAATGGTACCAATGGTCTCTCCTGAGTTATCAATGGCTTCTCTAATCACAATCAAGCCTACTTCCATGGAATCATGTAAATTAAAGACTTTGAGCACATTACTCTAACTTCCTAATCATCCATTCAACTGCTCCCGTGATGAACTTCAAACCCTTAATTGATTTATTCAAACCCGTTAAAACTCAAATCCCGTTGCGATTAAAACAATGGATTAATAACAATACTAATTATCCCTAATCTAGTATTGGCATGAGCACAATCAATTAAGCATATCAATTGCAATTATCATTAGAGAATTTAAAGAATTAAATCATGCATTAACCATATTCGAGTTCCGCTAGATCTTGGAATAAAGAAACTACTCACACATAGTCATGAAATCAAGAATGATATTCAACAAAGAAAACATAATTAACAATAATAAAATAAGAGAATTGAGAAAAGAAATCAATACTTGTAATTATTTATGAGATCTTGAATCTTGAAAGTAAAACCCTAGAAAATATTGTAGAAGAACGTAATACCAAAAACTCTAAAATAATGTATGTAAGTGATAAATAAAAGAGTATTTAAAACCTATTTATATCCTAGCATAAAACTAGGTATTTTTATCTTAATAGGATTCCTATATGCTGCCAAAACGAAACCGCCACAACCAGGCTGTGGCCGACAGGTTGCACGCCACAACCAAGCTGTGGAGTAAGCTTCTATGACGCTTCTTGGATGCTTGAAACACTCCATATGAAAAAGTATCTCGCGACCAAAACAAATTCCATGCAAATCGATCCCTATTCCTACAAATACAAAAACAAACAACCGAGAAGAGCAATATTGAAATAGGAAGAATAATAGCTCTAAAAGATTAAGAGAATGAAGAAAACACTATAAAATATTATCAAATATAACATATAAATCGTGTATAATATCGTGTTATCAAATTCCCCCACACTTAACCTTTGCTCGTCCTCGAGTAAACAAAACAAAAACTAGCCTACAAAGCATTGTCGTGCAACAAGCCCTTTAAACCCCTAGGTTACCCTAGTGGACGAGTTTGGTCTCGTAAAGGTTTTTAGAGAGAGATGTAAATTTGGGAATGTGGTGCTTAAAATCAATCCAACAAATAAACTCATACATAACATCTTTAAATATGATATGCACGAAATCAAGAAATATCAACCATGAGATTACAAACAACAAATTGCCAACAATAAATGCATTGCTCTTTCTTATCAACTCCAATGATTCAACAATAACATTCGCCCTTCTTTATTTTCTTTTTCATTTCAACATTTTTTTCCATCATTTTATCATTTTTCTTTTTCTTTTTATTCTTTTTTTAATATCATTTTTTTGATCCCAACTTAGACCAATTTATTTTTATTAATCCCAATTTTGGATTATTCCTCAATAATCCCAACTTTAAGGTGGATTATCATTCTTCATACCCAAACCGGTCAACAAAAGTCAACAACCTTCTATTGTAGGTTGTTGGACACGTGTCGCCAGTTGAGTGGTCCAATTTGTTTGTTTGTTTGTTTTTTTTTTTTAAGAAAAAAACAAAAAAAAAATTTCCTTTTATTTTTTCATAATTTTTTTTTATTTCCTCCTCCACCTCCATTAATGGCGGCCACCTCCAATCCACATTCCCCTTCTCCCTTTCCCGACCAACCCTCACCTCTTTCCCTTTTAGTAGCCTGGGTTTCAATGGGTTTAGGGGTTGAATGGGGTTTTGATCTAGCACGGGTTTCGATGTATGTGGCCAGTCTGGTTTTAGGGGGTATGGTTCCGATCCAACGCGAGCTTCAGTGTGGCTGGGTGTGGTTTTATGGCAGCGTTTGTGTTTCGAAGTGGTAGTGGGGTTTTCGGTGTAAGGGTGGTGTTTTAGGGGCGGCTAGGTGATATTTCATGGTGGGGTGTGGTTTTAGAGGTGGCTCGGTGGGGTTTCAGGGTGGGGATAGGAATTCCAATGTGAGGGTGGGGGCGGGTTCACAGGTTAGGCTAGTTTGAGGTGAAGGTGGTGGTTTTCGGTTGGGTTTATACGGTGGGGGAAGCGATGGTGGTTTGATGGTTTAGGGGGAAGGGAGTCGCCGGCGTGGGGAGGGGGATTAGGGTGCGGCAGGGGTGGCGGGATGAAGACAGGGCCGTGGGTGGTGGTGGGTTGGGTGGCTGGGATTGAAGCAAATTTGTATTTCTGATTTTTTTTTTTTTATTTTGTTGTTTTTTTTTTTATTAAATTTTCATTAACCAATTAATTTATGACACGTGTCACTTTTAAAAAAAAAAAAAACAACCCATTCAACCGGTCACCGGTTTTTGGGATTGAAGAATGATAATCCACCTTAAAGTTGGGATTATTGCATAATAATCCAAAGTTGGGATTATTGCATAATAATCCAAAGTTGGGATTAATAAAATGAAATGGGTGAAAGTTGGGATTATAAAATGGTATTAATCCTTTTTTTTATATTACATCTTTATTCATCTTTTCTCTTTTTTTTTTTTTTGTTTTTTTCTTTTCTTTTTCATACCATCTTCCTTCAAATAGCTCATCATACAAATCATCATGCCTTATCAAAAGACTCTTCTTATCCAAACAATGCATTACAAAACCATAATCTTGTAACACAAGGTAGTCAAGAAAGAAATAAGGCTCAAAGTGGCTATCAAGAGAAAGATGTCACATATTATAAAGAAAAAAATCCTAAAGATGACTCTGAAAGCTATAAATAACAAAAATATGCCTCAATCATAATTTCCAAATAATTCGGTAATCGATCTTAGGAAGCTAAAATGCAAGTCTCAATTGGGGCGATCAAGAAGGAGGGTATTTGAATTGAGTTTTATGAGGTTTGTGGCCCTCCAATAGGTACTTATCGCACAAGAGGAAAGCGAAACCATCTTACCACAAACAATTGTCATCAAAAGGATTTATGCTACTTATCGAATTACTCAATCCAATGCCAATCAATTCATGAAAAATAGTGGAAAATGTTTTTTTTTTTCTTTCGAAAATCACGTGTTTCACATTTTGGAATAAAAATTCAAGATGACACTGACAATAGAGCCTAAAATGTCCAAAGAATAATAACCCACCCCCCCCCCCCCCACACACACACACACACTTGAAATTTGCAATGTCCACAGTGCAACAATATGGCATGAATAAATAAAATAGGGGAAAGAGTACTCACAAAGCATCAGGGAAGCGAGGAGAGCTTGAGAATCCTTGACCTTTGGCACCGTAGATGTAATTAGCCATGGATAATAAGATGTAATTGATAGAATAATTCCTCAAATTCACCCCAATTTCTCACAATATTGTATACAACCACGATTACCATAATACTGAGTATTTACCATAATACTAATTATCCCTAATCTAGTATTGGCATGAGCACAATCATTAAGCATATCAATTGCAATTATCATTAGAGATTTTAAAGAATTAAATCATGCATTAACCATATTCGAGTTCCGCTAGATCTTGGAATAAAGAAACTACTCACACATAGTCATGAAATCAAGAATGATAATTCAATAAAGAAAACATAATTAACAATAATAAAATAAGAGAATTGAGAAAAGAAATCAATACTTGTAATTATTTATGAGATCTTGAATCTTGAAAGTAAAACCCTAGAAAATATTGTAGAAGAACGTAATACCAAAAACTCTAAAATAATGTATGTAAGTGATAAATAAAAGAGTATTTAAAACCTATTTATATCCTAGCATAAAACTAGGTATTTTTATCTTAATAGGATTCCTATATGCTGCCAAAACGAAACCGCCACAACCAGGCTGTGGAGTAGCCTGTCTTCAACTCTCCTTTGCGCCAATAATAAACGCCCACAACCAGGCTGTGGCCGACAGGTTGCACGCCACAACCAAGCTGTGGAGTAAGCTTCTATGACGCTTCTTGGATGCTTGAAACACTCCATATGAAAAAGTATCTCGCGACCAAAACAAATTCCATGCAAATCGAGCCCTATTCCTACAAATACAAAAACAAACAACCGAGAAGAGCAATATTGAAATAGGAAGAATAATAGCTCTAAAAGATTTGGAGAATAAAGAAAACACTATAAAATATGATCAAATATAACATATAAATCCTGTATAATATCGTGTTATCAGTAATTGTAGAAGATATTAAGTTGGGGGAAAGTGAATCAAATAACATTCACACATGTATATTGAATTAAAGCTAGTGCTTTAAAAAAAAATAAATAAATAAATGAGAAAGGGGATTAATTAATGAAAAGGTGAGGTCACATGTGGGCATTAATTGGTGAAAAATAAAGTTTACATGTGGCATGAAGGCCGTGATGGTTTGTGCTTTTAAATACTAAGTATAGAAGTATAAATTATATATTACAAAAGGTTTAAATTTTTCATGTCCACCCCTAGTTTTTTTTATTTTAATTATTTTCTCGGTAAATTCTCCTAATAAATGACAATCTCCTCTCTCCAACTTCTCTATATTAATGGTGGTCTTCGAACAAGATATGTTTTTCTTTCATATTTCTCCTCTTTTTTCCTCTCCACTCGTAATAGAAGTGTCCGAGTGCACAGTGAAGGGTCGGACACGTGTCCCATGTCCGTGTCCTTGTCATGTCGACACGGACACTTACCGATTTTAGCCGTGTCTGATTAACATAGCAGTTAGTACACTTATTTCAAAGAGTTAACAAGCACAATTGCTTTGTCCAAATTCTGAAGAATGTCAACTTGTCAAGTAGTTCATCTTAACACGAAGTATTTATCTTAAACCATTTCAATCTTCAGAATGGTACAACCTATTCTTCACAAAACAGTCTGATCATCAAGAAAAACAAAATACAGAAAAAAGGGAGCGAAAATTTGAGTATTTCAGCCCAGAATTTACAAAATGGTAATAACCATTATGAACATAAAGAATAGAAGATTAGCAGCAGCTTTTACAGAACCATAACTTGAACCAGAACCAGAACCGGCACTACTGCTTGCCCCTGCACTTGGATCACTCTTGATCTGAACAATAAATCGACATGTCCCAGCAGACGGATCTTTTGTTGTGACAGCAGAGATACCGCCAGGGAACTGGCATGCCTTATCCTGCTGGTTTTGTTCCTGATAATACATGTTAAACGCGTAAGATATATTCCCTGGTGCATCCAGATTGCTGCATGACGTTCCATACCCAAGGCTGGTACAATCAGCATGTCCACAGGCGTAGCTCACACTCGAGACTACTTGAGGATCACTTATATTGGCTGTGGAAGACAAAACACACCATTTTTTTGCCAGATATTCAACCCCTTTTGCTGGAATCAGAGTCCCAGTCTTTGTCAATCCAAGGTTAAGCTGGTACTTTGGGGTCCCGTCATAGTTGAAGATCCCCCAATGCCTCTCAAAGTTTCCTGGTAGGATACTTTTGTTATCTTCGTCAATGAGGCTAAACAGGTAAACATCGATAGGACCACTTGGCCTCATAGGCGTGCCTGTCAAGAGTAAAACAATAACATTATGGAAATACACTAATATTATGCAATGAAAGTGTTCTTATAACAATATACTCTTGATATTACCTTTGCCTCCTGAGAGGTGAGTAATTAACCCTTGGTTGAACTTCCGAGCACTGGTAGGGGTAGCATTCTTGTCTCCATCAGTAGGCCACCCAATCTCTCCTACTATGATTGTCATGTTTGAAAATCCATTCTTCTGAAGGGACCAAACGAGTGTGTCGTAGTTAGCATCGAAAACATTGGTATATGTCTTTCCATTGTCATCCAGGGGAGATGAAAATCCATCAAAGAAGGCGTAGTCTACAGGGAAATTGGGGTCATTGTAGAGGCTTATGAAGGGATATATGTTTATGGTGACAGGACACGCATTGTCATTCAAGAATTTAATGATTTTCAACATGAGATCACTGATGTCAGAACGAAAGTCCCCTCCAGAAGGGACATTGGATGCAGTTTCATATACATCGGCATTTAGAGGGATAGTGACTTTCACTTGATTGGCTAGGCCAGCTTTTATTAGTGCTGATTGGATGTTCTGAAGGGCAGGAAGTGTCATGGCATCATAGGTTCCATTCAGTGTCTTCAAAAATGGTTCATTGCCAACCGCAACATATCTGATGGAAGCAACAAAACACAAGGTACAACAATACTACATCATTAGAACTCAGAATAGAGCAGTCTAACCACATAAAGTCATAAACTATTTGTTAGTGCCTGTGTGTTTCTGAGAGACATTACTGCATAATCTAAGTTCATCCTTCCCTCTTAGGAAATGCGCGTTGAACTAGTTGGTGCCTTTGTGAAAAAAATCAGATTCACCATCACACATTGAGCTGAGTGAACATTAAAGAAATGTACAAGCATTGAGAAGCTTGATCATGTTATGACTGATTAACTGTTATCAAAATTACAGTTTTAGAAAAATTGGCATAACTTCAATCCTAAAAATAAAATACATATAGGGAATGCTGCTTTAGCATATGGTCTTCTTACCAAAAGGAAAAAAAGAAAATAGAACTACAGCTAGTTTGCAGAATTGATGAACTCTTGGACAACTAGTAGCTCTGATTTGGAAGATGAATTATAAGAAATCGAAAGTCAAAATAAATTCTAACTGCTAATGATCACAAGCTCACAACATAAGACAGGCTCATCAATCAGCTCTTTCCCCACAAAGATATTCTTTCTTTCTTTCGAGTAAAGAAATGATCTTCCACCTAGAGATAGTCATTAGCTGATAAATAAAATGGTTTCAAAAGCTCAAGTAAATTTGGCAAACTTTTGGTAAGCCACTTCTAGTCTAGTGTCAAATGAGCAAGAACGCAAGATATATAAGTGGAAGTAGCATAGCATCAAAGACCAATACAGACTACTTTCTTCTGCCCACCACTTTTATAAGACAAACAAGAGAGACTAATACTATTGCACAACATATTAAAACTCTCATTCCCATATCTGCCACTTTGTTACTCCAAATTCTCACTTTCAAAAGATAATGAAAGGAGATGGAGCAGATTATGTTCATCTCATAAGACCTTCCTTCTGTATAAACATTGAGCAAGCTAGTAAACGCCTTCCCCCTCTTCAGACGGCTAGACGAGCTTGCTGGCTGTTTCGGTTTCTGCTTTGGGGGGCAGGCTAGCACAGCATTTGCACTTGGAATTGATATCTTTGATTTTTCCAACTACTTCGGAATATATCGTAACATTACCCTGGCACACTAGGACCTAGGGGTGTATATTACTGGCACACTAACAATTATTCCATTAGACCTTAGTCTAGCTTGCAAATACATACATGCTTTGTCAATACATCTCTACTACAAGGCAACAGCCAATAACCAATAAGGCACTCGTTATGTAAAGACAAAACTTGAGGTCACTCACCTAGGGAGCCAACTCAGCCAAGCTCAAATACAGTATAAACAATAATCTATATAGAAAGCATTACTTCATTGAAACTACCACAAAAACACCCCAAGAAAATGTTTTTTAAACACTTAAGTATTACATCTAAAATGAAAACCATAACTACATCACTCTGTATGCTCATTTGCTCAACTTGAAACCAAACATAAAACTTTTGGTTTATTATAATTACGTAGACATAATTTAATATCAGGTCTTAAGTATTACCCCGAACTTTACCAACTACGGAGTACAAACAATAGACATAAATTTAATGATCTTTACCAACACAAATCATCAACAATATAAAATCAATAGAAAAAAAATAATTAATAGTACCTGACATTAACTCCATTGGAAGAAACATAAGAAGACAAATTTTTGGCAACCCAATTTTCAGCAGCTTTCATATCACTTGACAAAGGAGCCAACAAATCATTTGGAATACCAATCATAACCTCAATTCCTGATTTTCCCAAAGCTTTCAAAGCATAAGGATCTGGCTCAAATAATTTCACCTTTGTAATTCCATTATCTTTTAACAATTGAACCAATATATTTCCTGGTAATGGATGTGTTGCTTGTGTTCCCAAATTTACCCCTATACTATTTCCATTTACACCCATCACCATTAAAATCAACCCCATCATAACTACCATGCACCTTACTTCACTATATACAAACCCTCCCATCTTCTTCATTTTTTTTTTTTATTTTTTTTTTTTTTTTTTGTGGGAAAGTTTAAAACTTTTTTTTCACTAACCCAGTAGAATTTAAACACTTGGGTTTTTCTTACAAAAAATGGGTTTTTTACAAAATATTGTGGGAAGTTCTAGAAATTAAAATTTCAATACTTGTGGATTTTATTTTTTTGGAATTAATGAAACCCACAAAAGGGTTTTCCACAAAAAGAATAAAAATTTGTGGGAAGATGGAAATATGGCAATTAATTGCTGGTTAAGTATTATGAGGAGTATCACAAACAGGGGAAAGGTGAATTATTGTTGGAAAAAGAGAGAAAAAGGAATCAAGAATGAATATTTTTGTAGAAAATGGATTATTATGATGAAATTATTGTAGGAAAAAATAGGAAGTGGGGGGCTGGGGGCAGTAGTAAAGCTAAGTAATGGTATGTATATATGTATATAAAGAGGAGCAAAACAAAGAAAAGTAAAGGCAAAGTTGATACAATAATAAAGTGAGGAGAAAGCAGGGGAAGGACAGAGGAATGAAGTGATGAAACAGAGGAAGAATGTTGAGCTTAGCAAGTTATCATAGTTGTGCACCTACCAAAAAGTTGGATTTTTCAAGTCTCAATCAATTTGAGAAAAATATTTTTTTAACATCAAGTTTACCTTTTTTTTGAAGAAACATAAGTTTACCTTTTTTTTTTGAAGAAACATAAGTTTACCTTAGCATAGTGGTAAAGGTTTTAATTTTGGTAAATGTTTTGTGTAGTAGCTTTATATTTCAATCACCAAAATTAAATTCCTCTACAGGATACTCGTCTAATAGTAGTACAATAGTTGGATTATGGTCCGCTGTAATATATCCCTACTTAACTAATCTTAGAAAAAAAATTATAATTACTAGGGTAGTACGCGTGCGTATATAGCTAGTTATGCTTAGGAATCTCTTTTAATTTGGGGTCACAATGATAAGGATTGAATCTCACCAATCCTTGAGTTACGGTGTAGTACAACAAGCATAGGATAATTATTGTTAGCTTAAGAATATTATCCAAGATATTGTACATATCTTTTGTTTCTTGTGCATATCCTATTTCTCTTGTACTCCTATAAATATATCTTTGTACGATACTTTGAAATTAATGAAAAAAACATTATCAAATTATTTCTCCTTATATGGTATCAGACTTGCCTAGATCCCTCCTCCCTCAACCATAGCAACCATGGCCTCCACCCCTGACTCCTCCAACTCCTACTCTTACTCTCATCTATCCAACTCCCCCGAGTCTTCCAAACCTCTAGTTGTCATTAATATGCACAATGTTCTTAAGCTTTCCCCCACCAACTACCTATCTTGGAAGCTTCAGGTTGAAGCTCTTCTCGTTGGCCATGACCTTTTTACCTACGTTGATGGTAGCACCACCACCTGTCATCATCACTGATGGTGCTGAACTTCCCAACCCCGAGTACACTTTCTGGATTAGACAAGACCGTCTCTTATTTGGTGCTTTCATTGGTGCCATCTCCCAAAACCTTGTTCCCCTCATCTCCCAAGCCAAGACCACAGCCCAACTCTGGGCTATTCTGCACAAAACCTATGCACTTCCTTCTCGTGGACACATTAAACAACTTAAAGACAAATTTAACCGTGTTGTCAAAGGCCCTTCTTCAATCTCTGACTACATGAGACAATTGAAGGAGTGCTCTGATCATCTAGCTGTACTTGGTAAACCTATCGATCATGAAGATCTTGTAGACAAAGTCCTAGCCGGCCTAGATGACTCCTACAAATCCGTCATCGACTCTGTGAATGGATGGGATACTCCCATTTCATTCGAAGAGTTGCATGAAAAATTAATCAATAAAGAGCTTTCTCTTCACCAAGCCCAAACAAGCTCTGAATCTTCACTTCCAGCCACGGCTTTTCCTGCCTACACCAAGTCAATTTCTCGACCTCAGCCCCCCCAGTCCACCAAAGGGCTGCTGCCCACTCCGTCATCTCGCTCATCTAAGCCCTCATGCCCTTTCCTTGGCAAATTCCAATGGTGTCGTGAACAAGGCCATGTCGTAGCTCGCTGCCCTCTTTTCACTAAGCAGTTCCCTACGGCATCTCCACCTCCCCCACGCTTCACTGCCTCCTCTCAATCCAACCCCTCCTCACAACCTCAAGCTAATACCTCTATGATATCTTCCACTCCCTCAACTCCATGGCTCCTAGATAGTGGGGCATCTCATCACGTCACGAATGACTTAAACAATCTTGCCCTTCATGCCCCATATGATGGCACAGAAGAATTAATAGTGGGTGATGGTAAGGGTCTACCCATTACTCACATTGGTTCTTGCTCTTTCTCCTCTCTTAAACTCTCTAATGTCTTAGTTGTTCCTTCAATTACTAAAAATATCATCTCTTTGTCTCAACTTTGTCTTGACAATAATATTGCTATCTCATTCTCATCTAACTCATTTTTCTTGAAGGACCTTTCAACGGCGAAAGTGCTATTTCAAGGGACAACTAATCGTGGCATCTATGAGTTTTCCTCATCTTCTCCTTCAGTATACACAAGCACAATCTCCTCAATAGCGTGGCATCATAGATTAGGGCATCCATCTAGAAAAGTTTTTAATCTTCTTATTTCGGAAAATAAATTAAATGTATCAAGTCTTTCCATTCTAGATTGTAATTCATGTGCTTGTAATAAAAGTCATAAACTTCCTTTCTCTAGCTCTTCTATTACTTCCAATGCTCCACTTGAATTTGTTTACACAGACTTGTGGACATCACCTGTCTATTCACATGATAATTTCAAATATTACCTAATCTTTGTTGATCACTATTCTAAGTATATCTGGCTTTACAACCTAAAACAAAAGTCAGATACAAAAGCTATCTTTCTTCGCTTCAAGGCACTTGTTGAAAAATATTTTCAACTTCCGCTTAAAACTCTCTATTCTGATAATGGTGGAGAGTATCTCACTCTTCGCAATTTTCTCACTATCGATGGTGTATCCCAACTCACTACACCACCACATACACCTGAACATAATGGCCTATCTGAGCGTCGCCATCGGCACATTGTCGAGACCTTTCTTTCCCTCCTCTCCCACGCCAGCATGCCCTTCCAATTTTGGTCTAATGCTGCGACTACCGCAGCCTATCTCATCAATAGGCTGCCTACTCCCTCTCTTGGAAATGTCTCCCCCTACTTCAAGCTTTTCGGCCAAGCACCAAATTACATAAAATTACGTAGCTTTGGGTGTCTTTGCTACCCTTGGCTCAAACCTTATAATACTCACAAACTCCAACCAAAATCCAAGCCATTTATCTTCATTGGCTACTCCCCTCGCAGAGTGCTTACTATTACCTCGAGCCAACCACAAAGCGTATCTATGTCTCTCGCCATGTGCAATTTAATGAATCAATTTTTCCCTACACCACTCTCGGCCACAACACTTATGATCTTTCATCCACACTTGATCAATGGGCACCTCTCTCCGTTCCCACTCTAATCCCGCAACCTACCCCTCCCCCTGTTTCTTCCTCTTCTCCTTTACACCCCTCCACGCACTCAACCCCAACCCCATCCACACCACCTTCTCATGTCTCGAACCCTCCTTCATCCACCTCATCCCCTCCAAACTCATCTCCTCAACCAACTCACAACCCTCCACAAACTACCACAAGAATGGCTACGCGCCTACAACATGGCATAACTAAACCCATCCACAAACTTAATCTCAATGTCGAGGTGCATGATACCTCAATTCCGAAGAACATTACTCAAGCGCTCAAGAGGTCGGTTTGGCGAAAGGCCATGGAAACCGAAATCCACGCACTGTTGAAAAACAATACGTGGTCCCTTGGTGCCTTCCTCCCCCTCCCAAAATGTAGTAGGGTGTAAATGGGTGTTTCGCATTAAACATGACAAACATGGTGCCATCACCCAACACAAAGCTCGCCTAGTGGCTCGTGGCTTCACGCAGCGTGTAGGCATTGACTACGATGAAACGTTCAGCCCCGTAATCAAACCCACCACAGTTCGTCTTGTCCTGTCCCTAGCCGTCTCTCACGGTTGGCCGTTACGCCAACTAGACATCAACAATGCCTTTCTCCAAGGCACCCTTACTGATGACGTCTACACTGTTCAACCACCAGGCTTTGTCAACCCTAAATCTCCCACTCATGTTTGTAAGCTCAACAAAGCCCTATACGGTTTAAAACAAGCTCCACGAGCTTGGTACACCGAACTCCGTCATCATCTTCTTCAAATAGGCTTCCGCAATGCCATCTCAGACTCATCCCTATTCACCCTCTTTACAGAAAATGCCACAGTATATCTTCTTGTGTATGTCGATGATATAATCCTCACTAGCAATAACCCTCAATTTCTTGAAACCTTCATCACCACCTTGTCATCTCGCTTCTCCCTAAAAGATCTTGGAGTCTTATCTTACTTCCTAGGTGTCGAGGTTCTCCCTCACACCCAAGGCCTCTTCTTGAGCTAAACCTGTTACATAAACGACATATTGTCCAAAGCAAACATGGAACACTCCAAACCCACCTCCACACCTTTGGTTGTTCACCCTCCACTCACTACCACAGGAAAACCACTCTCGGATCCTGTTCAATATCGTGCGCTAATTGGGAGTCTTCAATATCTAAGTCTCACTCGCCCCGATGTTGCCTTCTCAGTAAATAAATTAGCCCAATATATGCACGCCCCTACTGCTTTACACATGCAATCGCTTCATCGTCTTCTTCGTTACCTCAATGGCACTTCTCACATGGGAATTGTCATACACAAAAATTCACCGCAAACACTCCATGCATTCTCTGATGCTGACTGGGCAAGAGATGTAGATGACTATATTTCTACTACGGCCTACATTGTCTATCTTGGAAAGAATCCAATCTCATGGTCGTCAAGGAAACAGAAAACACGTGCAAAATCATCTACAGAGGCTGAGTATAGGGCCGTAGCTGCTGCATCTGCTGAGATACTATGGATTCGAAACTTGCTCTATGAGCTTCGGCATCCCCTAACATCCACTCCGGTTGTTTACTGTGACAATGCAGGTGCTACATATGTCTGTGCTAATCCTGTTTTCCATTCTCGTATGAAACACCTCGCCTTAGACTATCATTTTGTCCGAGAGAATGTACAAGCTGACAAGCTGCGTGTAGCATACATTTCCACGAAAGATCAATTGGCTGATGTCCTAACCAAACCACTGCCAAGGTTGACATTCACAACTCTAGTCAACAAAATCGGTCTATCCTTTCTACAGCCCGTTTTGAGGGGGCGTGATAAGAATTGAATCTCACCAATCCTTGAGTTACGGTGTAGTACAGCAAGCATAGGATAATTATTGTTAGCTTAAGAATATTATCCAAGATCTTGTACATATCTTTTGTTTCTTGTGCATATCCTATTTCTCTTGTACTCCTATAAATATATCTTTGTACGATACTTTGAAATTAATGAAAAAAACATTATCAAATTATTTCTCCTTATACACAACTTTAATTTTAAAGGGTATAATTATCAAAACACTATTTATAAGAGTTATCTCAAACTTTTTAAAAGGTAGGGAAGAAAAAACCAAAAAAAAAAAAAAAAAAAAAAAAGCCAAAAAGCTATGATGGTTAAAACAAAAGGAAAAAAAAATGTTACACATGTGATTTGCATATATATATATATATATATATATATATATATATATATATATATATATATATATATATATATATATATAGTTAGA